GGTCATAGCTTTAAGCTCCAACAGAACCATGCTAGGTTGGAGGTCCGGGCCAATTTCTTCTCTCATAGGGTCATACCAATGTGCAACAGGTTACCCGGGGTAGTGGTCAACTGCACCAAGGCGGCACTGGATGCGTGTTGGTTAACTGCACCATTTGCACAACTTCAAGGCGGCACTGGATGCGTGTTGGTCAGAAATTTTCCCTTGTCACCGAAAGCAGGGTAAATTGCAGTCCTGAACTATGGCATTGTTAGGTGGTAATGCATCGTCACCGAAAGCAGGGTAAATTGCAGTCCTGAACTATGGAATGGGGGCTTTAAATTGTACTTGAAACTGAAGTTTCAGAAAACTAAGGTCTCTCACCGACGAGGCGAGAAGACATCTCTTCTGTTTTCTCTTTTCCAGCCCGCTTGAGAGAACCTAGCTGAAAGAAACTCAGAAAACGCAGTGTTTTCACAATAATCTGGACGCTCGATTGGCAAGGGCCATTATTCGTCCTGTGAAGACTGGACTGGACTGGACTGAAGTTATCAAAGTCTCTGATAAATCTCCAGTAGTCACTGTGGTTCCAGTCAAATTGCATAAGCTCCACTTTGCGCAGTACTATCGAGGGGTGGCAGTACACTACTTCAGTCGGTGGTTGAGACACTCTCGGCATAAAACCAACGGGTATGATCTGTTTCTCCGCCGCGGCGTGCATAGTGGAGCCTGATTGCCTAGCCTCCGATTCCTTAAGCTTCATCGACCTAATCTTCTGCTCTAACTCCACAATCTTAAGGAGATATAAATCAGAAATCTTAACGTCACCATGACAATCTAAGGCATATAAACTGATAGCACTAACAGGGCTAAGTGGATTAAAAATGTGAGAATCAGAAACCCCCCAAATTACCCAGTGACTTGCCGGGTTACTTCCTGTCCCTCCTCCTCAATCCTTCCTTATTCGAACGACATTCTCTTGTTCCAAATTGTGCGAACTTTGAGTACTGTAACTCCCGAATAGATCAACGAGCAACGCGAAGCCGAAATTGGATCCAAAAGCGTCAACAAAACGAATGATCCGGCAAATTTCCACGGTACTGCATTAATAAGCGATCAAATAAGCAAATAAAAACTGTACAAACCTCAAAGTGATCTCGAAACAACTTGTAAACAAGAGCCAAGTGTCACTGTGAGCGTAATTCAACAAGTATGAATGGGAGAAAATGAGCCTGGGTAAGAAAAGCACGCTCACTGTCACGCTGCACTTGAACGAGCCAAATGTGAGCGCTCAAGTCACGATTAAAACAAGTAGGGTAAAAATTGAAGCAGATAAACAAACAAAGTCAAATGGTGGGATTGATGTGTAAATATACAAAGGGAGTGGAACGTCAAATGTCTATATGTATATGAGGCGGATGGTGTTTGGTGAACGGAACGTAAAATTCACGAAATGTGGAACCGAGATGGAATGACTGGGCTTTACACGAAGGATTTTTGCAGATCAATCAATACAGGGGATAATAAGAAAAAAACTATCAGAATCCCTAATAGGCGTGCAGTTCTTTTAGAAGGCTGTAGTATTGGAAATGGTATTCGAAAAGGGGTTCCAGAATTAGCGCAATACCAATCCCCGAAATAGAACAACTTTGAATCGAATTGCACACGAACTTTATTCAAATCGTTTACTACGTTTATTCAATGCTTTTAAAGTTTACAAGGAATTCCGAGGTCAGTGTCACACATCACACTCGCCGCACCTTGAATTGACCACAGAATTTCTGTAATCCATTCAGGGTTTTGCAGTCAGTCGTTCAGACCTTAACAGGACTTTTTCACTCACACGTGATTCTTCCGTAGCGGCTTGTTGTTCAACATTTTGTTCAGCAGTCGTATCAGGTTGCTCAGTATCTAAAGAAACATTATTAGACTCCAAATTCGCATCATGAAGTGGAACTGACTGACTTGGATTTTCAAAGCGAATTCGGTCCACATGTCTTCTATGTATAGACAAATCACCCTTGGCAAGTGGTTGAAGTACTCTTCAACCTAAAGACTTTAGGACAATTCCTGAGGAGGGTCTTAGGTCATAAACACGAAAAAATACAACTTCAGAAGAATTATTACACAATAAATTGGATCTCAGATTTCGACCTTTTGAAAGTTTAGCAGGTGTCTCTTTAGTGGATGAATGAACAGAATTACGATATTGTAAAAGAAACAAATCACCACATCTTCCAAGTTCAGAAAATGTGGATGGATTCAAAGCAGTAAAAGCACTTTTAAGTGTTCTAACAAAATTCTCTGCTTGTCCATTAGAGCAAGGATGTTTAGGAGCAGTAAACAAATGTTTGCAGCCAATGTTATGCAACCATTCTGAAACACTTTTCGGGGAGAAGTGACTGCCATTATCCGTAACAAGTACAGCGGGAATACCCTGCCGATTGGAAACTTTACGCAAAGCATGAATGCTAAAATCTGATGAAGGTGACTTAGTGAAAAATACCTCTGGCCACTTGGAGAAGGAATCAATGACAACAAGAGCATACATTCCGTTAATAAATGGACCAAAATGATCCGCATGAACACACGGCTACGCCTCAGTTGAAACAGACCACGGAACTCACTTGAATGGCAACTGTCGAACTTTATGGTAGCATTTAGGGCAGCTCTTTGCTTTGGAACAATTGTCGGCATGAATATTAGGCCACCAACAAGTTAATCGAGTCAGTGACTTTATCTTTTCTATCCCAAGATGACCGGAATGTAAGTCATCAAGTACAGCTTTACACAACGTCGGCGGAATCACAACTCTGTCATTTAAGCACAGTAATCCATCAGGCGTAATTGAAAGTTCATCACGCCTAGTATAATGATGTGAAAATCGCTTCCGGGTTTGGGCGTTCCAACCCTTCCGCAAAGCAGTCATCACAGCAGTGAAATAACGATGTGTGTCACGAATAAGTTTTGGCAGCACACAAGGAAAGGATATACTAGTAGTGAGTCAGAAATGTCCTCTGGCTCCGAAGCGGGTAGCGATTGATGCGAAATGTAATTCACGTATTGGATGTATTTGGCACTACGATGTTCAATTGTGTAATCAAATACACTGAGGGAGATACTCCAACACTGAACCATAGCTACAGAGCTTCTGGAAAGGGATTTCCGAGGATCGAAAATGAATTTCAAGGCCTCATGATCGCTAACGATGGTGAAATGATGGCCGAAAAGGAACTTGTGGAGGCGCTTGACTGCCCAGTATACAGCTAAGGCTTCGCGATGAGTTTGAGTATAGCCTCGTTCAGCTACTGTTAACCGGCGAAACACAAATAATTGGATGCCCATTCTGCTCAAGAATTGCACTAATTCCATCGGGTGAGGCATCAGTAATAACAGTGGAATGAATTTTGGGATTGGATGAGTGAAGTACAGCATCAGTCTGCAAAAAATTTAGCAATTCACTTAAGCAAAGTTCATGAACATCGGTCCAAACAAATTTGCCAGAAGAAGAGAGAAGAAATAGGGGTGAACCGTTCAGACTGAAATTAGGGATAAATCGAGAGTAATACTGTAGGGCTCCAATCAGTGATCTGAGTTCGTGTATGTTAGACGGTGATTTGGCTTTGTTAGAGGGAATAGATTGTTCGGGTCAGGTTTGTACCCTTTACCATCAACTAAGCATCTAAGACATTCAAAATAAGAGACAAAAAATTTCTTAGGATAAACAGCAATATTCTTATCAGAAAATCTACGAAGGAGTTCAAGCAATCGTGCGTCATGAGTGGACTTGTCAGGAGCATGAACAATAATGTCATCTGGATATACTTCAACACCAGACATACCACTAGTAATACCATTCATAACTTGTTGAAATATGGTAGGAGAAACGGATAAACCGAATGGCAGAAACTTGTATCTGTACAAACCAAAAGGGGTATTAATAGTTGACAAAGTGGATGATGTTTCATCCAACGGAATATGTAAATATGCATCTTTTAAGTCAATCTCGGAAAAGATCTTAGAACCAGTCAACTTATTCAGAATTTTCTCTTGTTTAACCGTTGTACACGTCAACTTTAACCGTCTTGGATTTAAGGTGATTCGGTAGTCACTACATATTCCGGGGGTCTTGCCATTCGACTTGAATGGTGTGACAATCGGTGTATCCCATGCAGAAAACGACACCTTCTCTATAACACCTTTGGAACCCAAGTTGTTCAATGCATTCACGACAAGTTCACGAAGGCCATATGGAATGACTCGGCGTTTGAGAAATACTGAATTTCCATTAACTGGTAGTCTCCCTCGGAGAATCTTCCTACCACAACTGGCCTTTGAGCATTTAATAATCAAATCCTTCAATTCATTTTCAGTATTGATGAGGTTAGCACGGAAAGATTGACATTTAATGCTTGCATGGATTTCAATCCTAGTATGGATGGGCCAGACTTAATTATAATGAATGTACAGGTAATACTTTTAAAATATTCGTCAATGACTGAAATCTCACAAGAACCAACAACAGGCAATGAGTGTACAGCGATGCCATTTATGGTGACAGTGAACGGTTGAAGAATAGCATCTAAAGCAAACAGTTTTAGATCGTGAACAGAAAATAGAGATTCCACACTACCAGTGTCCAAAATGAAATGAAGTAACTTACCAGTGGAACTGAATAGTTGTTTACGAATGTGACCGGAATGGTAGGTAATTGCCGAAGATAAAGAATCAAAGTGTTTGTCCATATTACTCACTTCTGAGTCCCGGGATTGAATTAAACGACAGGTTTTGGTACTGCGACAGACTGAATATGGCCAGTTTTGCCACACTTGTGACATGAAGCGTAACGAAATCGACATGAGAATCTGGAATAACGTTTGCTACAGGGTGCACAATTGCCATAGGATTTATCCGAATATGTCACATTGTGTGAGGTGGATTGTGTAACCGGTTTGAAATGTCCGGTTGTAGCATGAGCTTTCGTGGATTTAGTCTTGAGTGAACTGAACATGGCTGTAGGTTCGATGATGGACGGAATGGATGAAGTAACGGCGCGAATGTCCTGATATTGTTCACAATAAACCCGCACATCTTTGAACGTCGGATTGGACAGCTTCAGAAGTTCATTTTGCAAAACGGTATCGCTGATGCCAGCGATCAGCCGATTTTTCAATTGCATGTTCAGTAAATCTCCAAAATCACACTTTGCAGCTTGAGTGAGCAAATCCAGGATAAATTCACGAATACCCTGATTCGGATTGCGTACCACTTAATTAAATTTTGCTCGCTCTAAGGCTCCAAAGTTTGTTGGCATCACATGCTGTAGAAAGAGGGATTTTAAATCATCGTACGGCACAGAAACGGGTGGAGAAGGATAGGCCAAGTTTTTGATTAGTGTGTAAGCATTTGTACCGGCAGCATTCAAAAAGAAGGCGGATTTCTCTTCCTTATCGGGCTTTGAACGGGTCAACCACCAAATCTCAAAATGTTCAAAATAATCCTCGATATCGCGTGCATTGCAGTTAAGATCAAGGGATTCTAGTGGAGTAGAATTCATTGTTCAGTAGACCGGCCGCGACGTCAAATGTAGTAGGATTAGTATTCGAACTGGGATTCCAGAATTCGCGCAATACCAATCCCCGAAATAGAACAACTTCGAATCGAATTGCACACGAACTTTATTCGAATCGTATACCATGCTTATTCAATGCTTTTAGAGTGTACAAGGAATTTCGAGGGCAGTGTCACACATCACCAAGGCACAGCACGGCTTCCCCAAGGGTCGATCGTCTCTGACCAACCTCTTAGTATTTCTAGACGAAGTAACTAGCAGGTTATACAAAGGAGAAACAGTCGAAGTTTGCTATCAAAAGACGTTCGAATCTGTTACCCACGTGCTGTAATTGCATAAAGTAAGGGGTAAAGGTGTTCCAACCAGATATGTAAGTGGATAGCCAGTGTACTCCACGATCGCACATATCAGATGAAAATATGATCCACGATCTCCAGCGAACGGAAGCGACTAGTGGTGTTGAAGCTAAGCGGTGTTGACGACCTGCCGGTAAGTCTTCTTACGAGTTTCAAAGTGCGCGCGACCTCCTAGTGTCTCGTTGCCCGGGGTAGACAAACACACCCATGGGAGTCGTAAACGTTAATTGGCGAATCGTGGTACTAGATAGCACCAAAACGTACCGAGGTGACGCTAAACAATGCAAATAATAAATGCAGTAGTAAAGCGAAAGCTTGTCACACGTGTTGCGTGGGTTTGAACAGGACCCAGCTTATATATACACCTGAGCGGAAAACCGTGCTCGGTAAAACAAGCAGAAATAAAACAAAGAAATATCACAGTTGAAGTCAGAGTTGATTGTGAAGAAAATATGAACGGAAAACGTCCTCGTGGATTGCTCCTTTTCTTCGTACAATCATGGTCACTAAAGTAGCCCATCGCTGGAAAGTACGAAAAAGCTTTCGATTCAGAAACGAGTTTGAGGAGCAGACAATCGTTAGCGTGTGACTGTGCTGTAAGACATGGACTGGCAGAATCGTTGGTGTGTGGACTGTTTTGCTTTAGTCGACCATCAACCAGATTCGTTGCATCAGATGTCAGCATGGGAACCATAGTGACGTATACTCAATCGGTCATTGGATGATTCACACCATCCGAATCGTTAGTTGTATCATGATATCGGGTGGCTCTCGTCGTTTCCAGCGTCCGTGATCGTTGGCGTGCCAGAATAAACGAAGTAGACCACTTGTTGTTCATGTATGCAACCGTAGAAACGTAAATCGTCTCCAACAAACTCTTAAGATCCAAAGGGGACACGATCGTGTGAGAGGGTGCCAAAATCCTCGTTGAACCTCGAGGTAACCAATGTGCGTTTCGTAGGACCTGATCTCTGGAAGTGAAAGATTGTCGGAGAAAACCGGTGTAGCATGCTAACGTTCAAAATTGCTGCATCAATCATAAGCAATCACTGAGCATACAAAAAATATCGAGATAAGGCACCTCGCAATATAAGTCGTAATAGGTATTGCTCACGTTATACGCTTGTGTGAATCGTGTTTTGCTCAATCNTTGTTCATGTATGCAACCGTAGAAACGTAAATCGTCTCCAACAAACTCTTAAGATCCAAAGGGGACACGATCGTGTGAGAGGGTGCCAAAATCCTCGTTGAACCTCGAGGTAACNCACGTTATACGCTTGTGTGAATCGTGTTTTGCTCAATCCCGCAGACGGGCAGGCAAAACAATCCTTCGACCTGAACGTGAGACTGATGTCTCGTCCTGGTCTGAGGAGGTGTTCGCACACTGCTGATTTGAACGTGAGACAGTTGCCTCATTCGAAATCGTAGCAGGTACTGCGATCTGCTAGCTCGACTCTGAGGTAGGCGCCTCAATCATCGGCCGTGCAGGAATAACACCGGGTCTCGAACTGGCGTGCACTATGCCATCGTCGACATATGCTGTCTTGAACCGTTCGATATTAATCGTGTCGACGCGACCATGTCGATCAACCTTGAAGAACTTTTCGTGATGCGAAATAAGTCGAAAAGGTCCTTCGTAAGGCGGTTGTAACGGTTTACGTACCGCATCAATTCGAATGAATACGTACGAACAGGTTAAGAGTTCAGTGGGTATGAACACCTTTCGTTGCTGTATTTGAGTTTGTGCCGGTGACAAGGATTGCATAAACGTAGACAAACGTTGCACGTTGTCCTGTATTCCAATGGAATCCGTGTCGCATGGCGTAAAACATTCTCCAGGTAGTCGTAATGTAGTGCTGAAAACCAGCTCAGCAGCTATACATTGGATATCTGAATTTACGCATGTTCTGATGCCTTACAGAACAAGAGGTAACGTCTCGTACCAATTAAGGTCCTCGTGTGCCCGAAGGGCACCCTTAAGTTGACGGTGAAAACGTTTGACTAGACCGCTAGATGCTGGATGGTTGGCAGTTGTGCGGATGCGTTCCGTACCCAGCAATCGTGTTAGCGAAGAGAATAATTCTGATTCGAATTGTGCTCCTCTGTCAGTCGTGACAGTAGAGGCACAACCGTGGAGTGTTATCCATCGTTCTACGAAATGTTGAGCCACTGCTTCGGCCGTGACATTAGAGATGGGAATAGCCTCCGGCCATCTAGTGAACCTATCAATACACGTGAGTAAATGAGTATACCCGTGTGCCGGTGGTAATGGGCCAACAATATCGATGAGAACGTGATCAAAGCGAGCGTCAGACGTAGCAAACGTACCGATAGGTGCAGCTACGTGCCTGTGCACTTTGGATCGTTGACATTGTACACACTGTTTAGCCCATATTCGAACGTCCTTATTCATGGATGGCCAGACGTATCGTGCGGCAATAAAACGAAGTGCTGCTGCGATGCCTGGGTGTGATAAACTATGTAAGGTGTCGAAAAGTAAACGACGATAGAATCAGGGTACTACTGGTCGAGGTAGACCTGTAGACATGTCATATAAAATGGTACCATTAGAAGTCGTTAACGTATCGCCATCTTAATGAAGTTGAATGGACCACCTCGTCACAAGATGAATCATTTGCCTGGATATCAGCCATAGCAGTAATATCTAACGGGGACTTTATCGCATTAACGTGAATACGTGATAAAGCGTCCACAACACAATTCGACTTGCCTTGGACATGCTAAAAGTCAGTCGTGAACTGTGAACTATAGTATAGTGTCTGGTTTCTCGGGGTGAGTAACGGTCACACTTGGTATGCCAAGCATATATAAGAGGCTTATGGTCTGTATATAGGGTGAAATCTCGACCTTCGAGTGCATGTCTAAAATGCTTAATGGCGGTGTAAGCGGCCAGCAGCTCGCGACTAGTGGTGACCCCAAGGGTCAATGACAGGACCACTCCTCTTTCTCATGTTTATCAACGACCTTTCCGAGGAGGTCACAAATCCATGGATCATCTACTCAGAAGAGGTCAAAATAGTTAGCGGCTCGTCTAGTCGTCAACAATACAAGACGACTTAGACAGGTCTCAGCGTGAATTATAAGGTGGGATCTGCCGTTGAATGGTGCCAAATGTTGTGTTCTAAGCAAAATGCTCTGGAACCCCCTCCCATGCGGC